CTGATTACTTTTTTCTAGTAACTTGACCAACACTGGTCGTAAGCTTACACAAGCTCAGACTCAGTGCCAGGTTAATTGTGCGCCTGTACTTCACACTATCTCAGCACACAGAAGGATTCAGCTGATGGACTCTGAGTATTTTAGCCAGAATGAGATGAAACCAAACTGTTTCTGGGTGTGTGTTTTTTCCTCTGCAGCTGGAAACCTCGTCTGTCTCCCCTCCTGGCCCTCTGCATCTTCTTGGTGTGTGAGCGGCACAGAGGAGAGGCCTCTGATTGGTTCCCTTACATCAATGTGCTGCCCACAGTTTACACCTGCCCCGCCTATTTCAGCGATGATGTCATGGCTCTTTTACCTGCCAGTGTGCGGAGGCGGGCCTTGGAGCAGAGGGAGGCAGTGAAGGAAATGCACTCCTCCAATCAGGAGTTTTTCAGGTGAGTGCGGTTAAGGCCGGGATTTGTACTCGCTCGTGGATCAGCTCGTTTTCTAAAAATTGGCTGAATGGGGCGTAAAATGCATCAGAATAAAAGTAATTGTTCAAATGATGTTTAGGCTTCTTGTGTGAAAAGTGAATGATCGCGCTGTGATTGGTTCACTGGTTCAGGTCCCTGCAGCCGGTTCTGAGTCAGCCCACAGCGGATGTTTTGACCTATGAGGCGCTGAGGTACACGTTCCTTATCTTTGACCAAATGAACCGTTTACATAGCAGTATTAGTGAATGAGAATACGATCTCTAACTAAGCTCCTCCTCCTTTCCCAGGTGGGCGTGGTGTAGTGTCAACACACGCACCGTCTTCATGAGCCATGCTTCAAGCAGCTTCCTGTCAGGACCTGATAATTATGCTTTAGCTCCCTTCCTGGATCTGCTCAACCATCGCCCTGACGTGCAGGTAAATGTGATGCTGCAAGAATGCTGTAGCTGTCGAGTCGGAGCTGGTTGTACTGATTGAGAGTGTACGACTGTGTTTCTTTTGTCAGGTAAAAGCAGGTTTTAACGATGCGACGAGATGTTATGAAATCAGGAGTGTGTCTGGGACTCTGCGCTACCAGCAGGCCTTCATTAACTACGGTTCCCACGATAACCAGCAGCTGTTGTTAGAGTACGGATTTGTCACCACTGCCAATCCCCACAGTGTGGTCTATGTGGACACAGGTAAACCTCTGCAGTAGGTTTTATCAGGGGGAAGTTTTTGCCCTATCGTCGAATCAAATTTATATTTACATATTAGAGGTGGGAATCACCATACATCCCACGATACGATATTATTGCAATTTTTAAAAATATTTTGCGATATTCAGATTCTGTACATAAAGGTAAA